CTCCTCGGATTGAGCCACATGGGCCTGGGCCTTTTCGGCCTTCTCCTTATTCCTCAGCTCTCCTCGGATTGAGCCACATGGGCCTGGGCCTTTTCGGCCTTCTCCTTATTCCTCAGCTTGCTCCAGCAATTTCTGCTCAAGTGTCCTCTCTTCCCACAGTTCGAGCATTGGATCGGCCTGCCATTGGTCGACTCCTTCTTTTGATTCCCATCTTTCCCGCGCGTGCGCCCGTGGGACATCCATGGCTTCTTACCGCCTTTGCGGCTGGAGGAGGACCCGTTGCTCTCGCCGGTGTTGTCGCGGAGCTTTAGGCGTGCAAGCCATTCCTCCTCCGTGAGGAGTAGACGGCCCTCGCTGATGCCACCACCGAGGGTGGTGATGCTGTTGGCGAGCCCCGTGATCCGCATTGAAAAATCATCGACGGATTCGCCGTCCTTAAAGCGAATCTCCGAGAGCTCCTTCCGAAGTTGCTCGATGTTGGATTCCCGCACTCGCTGTACACCGACCCGACGGGATTTGATTCCCTCCCAGGCCGATTGTGCGGTGCGCTTGGTGGAAAGAGAAGCCAGCATCTCTGGGGGCACAGATCGTAATATGGCAGCGAACGCCAGCCGATCCTCCCGGTACTCGATTGTTTCTCCTTCCTCTGGCTCGACAGCGTGCCATAACCCTTGCGCCTGTAGGTTAACGCGCATCAACAAGGCCCACTCGTTGTAGTTGGACCTTGTCAACATCGGGTACTGAACGACGGCGGTCGTTGTCTCTCTGATCACTCGCTCAACAACTACTCGACGCCCCGTCATCACGATGTCGGCCACGGCCTCTTCGTGGTGGTGATGGAGATGCCGGCACTTGGCGGCGTGGAGGAGTGAGCGAGCCTGCTTGAGATGGGCCCCACGATGTATTTATTTTTGCGCTTTGCATTTTCTTCTACTCGAACCTAAGACCTGTGTGTTATTAGGTCGACGCTCTAACCACTTGAGCTATTCAACTTGATTGTTGATAGGTTGGCTCTTCTGTGATGGTATACTACCGATCGCAAAATTGGCCGAAGGTTTCTTCGAAGGAAAAATTAGCGGAAGTAAAAGGAGAGAGAGAGATTTGCTGGTAATGCTGAAGACTCGATATATTTATTTTACATCCGTTGAATGGTTTAAATAATAAATCTAATTACAAAAATAGAAAAACCAAATATACAAAAATAGAATGAGTGGACGAAGACTCCGCCACTCTGCCAAAACAATGGCCCCTAGAATCACGCTCCTCCATTCGCGTGAACTCATATGTTTTTACAAACCTAACTAAATAAGGCAGAGCTTTTATTTAACATCGGATTTGGTGTCGTTAACAAGCTGTTTCTCCAGCTAGCTCCGACCACCAACGACGGCGAAGAATTGAAGAGTATCAACAAATCTCCTTGCCTGAATTTCGTTTTCCACCGGCCGGATTCGGAATTTCGACGGAAAAAAATCCCATGGTGGATAAGAAAAACCAGTTTCCTCCGACCAATCTACCAAAATTCGTCAATATTATTGTCCTGGTTCGCCGGAGAAGAAGCTCTTCACCTGGGAAAACTCAACGAGGAAGAAGTCATCAATGGAGTTTCAACAACCATCAGTAACTTCCAAATTCCGAATTCAGAATCAGATTGCAATGACTGCGAAGCAAATTCGAAGGGGAGCGTTAAATTCAGTAAAGTATTGAAGAGCCAATGGGGCAGCGATCCTCTGTTTCAGGGTTCATACTCATACATTGCAGTGGGATCAAGCGGGGAAGATTTGGACGCCATGGCAGAGCCATTACCAAGAACAGAGGAATCTCCAAAAGCTCCATTACTTCAGATTCTGTTTGCAGGTGAAGCAACTCACAGAACCCATTATTCTACAACACATGGAGCTTATTTCAGTGGCCTTAGAGAGGCCATTAGGCTGCTTCACCATTACAATTGCATTTGAATTTTCTGAAACTGATAATCTTTTTTTATTTTTTTTAAGAGGATGAAAAATTAAAAAAAAAAAAAAAAAAGAGTCTTTTGTTTTATATTTAATTATCTCACGGTTAAATGAAACTCTGGTGACTTTGATATGGGCTTTTTGGGTTTTGGAAAAGACTAGTACCAATGTAGATAGTATTTTTTTATTATAAACCCACGATGTGGGACTTTCATCCAACACTCTCTCTCGAACAAAGTACGCCTTCCCTTAATCGAGACTCAGACTTATTTTTCTTTGAGAGTCTTAGTCATTTTTTAGTGCTTTCGAGGCGGGAGGCTTGACTCTTTTTCTTTTAGAGTCTTAGTCATTTTTTTTTTTACTATACCTTCGAAGCTCACGATACTTTGTTCAACATTTGAGGATCCTATTGACATGATTAAGGGTGTGACTCTGTACCATTGAATGACACTATGATTTATATGGATCACGACCTCATCAACCAGAAAATCATAAGTTTGATAACAAACCGCAGTAAGAAATCTAGATTTTCATTCACCAGGTAAATCAGTAGCATAATAACAAGTCTCCCCTGTAATAATTTTGGATGGGCCAACGGCCCACGAAAGGCAGGTTCATATGGCTTTACGGCCCACAAAAAATGACCAATATATATGTATATATATATAAATATATATATATATATATATACATATATATAGAGAAAGCGAGGAGCCATGGAGAAGAATGAGACAAAACCATAATTTTGGCGCCATAGCATTTGGGGCTGTTACTGAACCGATTTGCTTACGAAGCTCGAGCTGCCCCACACTCCGCTGATTCCTTTGCTCATCGCCAACCATTTTCCATCCTAAAAATTTCTCGACTCCAAATCTCTGTTTTCATGTAAAATTACCATAATTCAATCCTTTCTCTCCTTCGTGTTTCTGATTTGCCTCGATCATGCCGGGAACCATCAGAGTTTCTGGTAATTCTTTCGCATTTTTCGTCTTTAATCGATCAGTTTCTGATTTTCCGATCCTATTCTTATTCTTCTTCATGGTTGACTTTGTTTTGTTTCAGTTCTGGAGTTCATGGACCTACCTGAGCTATTGCCTTTGCCAATTTTGATTAAGAGTACGCAAATCAGTTGTTCTTTTGCTGTGTGTTTGATTTTTGGTTTTCGTTGTTTTCATTCTGGAATGGTTTCGTTTCACTGCAGTTTCCATGGGAAAAAGACAGTATGAAACATCGGAGAAAGGAGATTTCTCATTGTAATGACCAATGCCTCTGTAATTTAAGATGTTCATCTTCTTCTTGTTCTGGTTTTTGTGTTTTTAACTGTGGATTATGGTGTTTTGGTGTATATAGTCCATTGACGACGCTTCGAGATGATGTGATTCTTATAATTCAGGATGCTGGAGGGAATGAGGTATCACGTGCAGGTTTGTTCAAGGAATTTGCTGTTGAAATTGATTAGGTTATTTTAGCAAAATGAGGCTGATTGTGATTGGAATGGTTTTTTTTGGGGGGGGAAGGTGTTCAGGCGAAATCAATAGTCGAGAAGGGTTACTGGGATGATCTTTTTCCTCTTGAAGGAGGAGGCCGTGTGCATTTGAAGTTCCAGTTTGCTCTTAGTGAAGATGATCGCAGTCGAATTCGGACAATGGTATTCGCATCAAACCTTATTTTTCTCCTCAATAATGTCAATTTCTTTACTGAATTCCACATAGTTTATTCATTGTAATTGTCAACTGCACCGCTAGTAAATATGATCATTTTTAGGTTTTTCATTCGGGCTTCCTCTCAAGGTTTTAAAATGCGTATGCTAGGGAGAGGTTTCCACGTCTTAAAAAAAAATGCTTTGTTTTCCTCCCCCAACCGATGTAGAATCTCACAATCCACCCCCCTTCGGAGCTCAATATCCTTACTGGCACACCGCCTCATGTCCACCCCCTTTCGGAGCTTAATCTCCTCACTGGCACATCTACCGGTGTCTGGCTTTGATACCATTTGTAATAGTCCAAGCCCACTGTATATTATTTTTTTTGGGCTTTCTCTTTCGGGTTTCTCCTCAAAGTTTTTAAAACACGTCTGTTAGGGAGAGATTTCCACTCTCTTATAAAGAATGTTTCGTTCTCCTCCCAAATCGATGTGAGATCTCACATAAACTCTTCCCTTTGGGTCGTGTTATTATAATCACTGAGCTTGCTTCGCTCTCCTGCATGCTTCATTTGACATTTTGAGATCTCTGCATGATAACTTTGAATCACTTTAGTTGTTTCTTGATATCATCTCTACCTTTTTCACATAGAGAGAAACCGCTATGAGAAGAAAACAAGTTGAGCGTCAAGATAGAAATCTCAATAGCTCTGGAAGCAGCCTTGCTTCATCTTTTTACCTCAACCCCGAGCTCTCAGGTCAGATCCTGCTCTGGCAAAAACAAATAAGGCCAGAATCTGAATACTTTATGGTTATTAAGTAGTATGATTTTCTAGTTGTAAAGTTTTCTTTACATTGGTGTTTTTTGAAAGGTTTTTTCTTGATTTTCTGAGTGCTCCGTCTTCTCAAGATTCCCAAAAATGTCTTCTCCAAGTTGGAGATCTAAGTGCTAAAGAAGCGGCTCATCAATCTTCATCAGCATCAACTGAAGATGTCCCTGATGACAAGCCGGTTACTGAAAAAACAAACGACACTCAGCTCGATCAGGTTGAACGACTTTCAGTTGAGGTCTAATGAATCTGTAGAGCAATTTCTTGCTAAGTTCTAAAACTTGTTTCAAGATTTTTGATGGGTGTTTTTTATTTGTTTTAGAATGATGCAGACACAAATGAGGATAACCCATCAGCAATTCCTCGTGTAAACAAACCTTCACCTACCATTCGTTCAGAAAAAAAGGTTTTCCATTCTCAAGGCTCAGAGTTATCCAGATCTCCAGCAAAAGATGAAAAGAAGACCGGTTCTACAGATAGGAAAACTCCCAGCATGGTGAAAAATGTAATAAGTGCCTTTGAAAGTAACTTGACTCAGGTATATTCTGGTTGATGCTTTATAATATCATATGATTGCTTTCATAGGCTGTTTGCTTGAGTATGCTATTGTTTGAATCACATTTTGGTTTTTACATCAGGATACAACCCCTCGCATTAAACCTACCTTAAGAAGTACTCAAATCGGTGTGGTAGAGAAGCAAACATCTCTAAAAGTTTATCAGTCTAAGGAAGGAACGACAATAGACCGTCCTCTTGCACGGGAGTTGACCCATGATTTCAAGCAAAATGAACAGAAACGGAAATTCATCGAGGCTTCAGATGGGACTAAATTATCTGAGAACGCTTGGCAATCGCTAAAGTTGAAAGGGAAGAAGAATCAAGTTGGAGGAGAAAATTTGAGGGAAAAGGATCAAATGAATAAGAAGCATGATGATATAGATGCAAAGAATGATGGAGCTTATCAAAAGTCAATGCCTGAGAAGCCAGACTATGTCAAAGATGAACAGTTTTCTTCCAAAAGGTCTGGTGGTTGGATATTTCCAGATGAAAAAAGACGGGTGTGTGTCACAACAGGTGGTAATCAGATGCTAGAAGATATGGTGGGAGGTCGCACTAGCTATACATTTAGCCGTAAAGTGGAAATGAAGATTTCCACGGAAGAGGCAAGTTTGGTTTAAACAGCTTTAACTAACGGCATACATGAAGAAAAGTTAGATTTATCTGATCTTAATGAGGCAACTTGTGAGATCCTACGTCGGTTGGGGAGGGGAACGGAGCATTCCTTATAAACACGTGGAAACCTCTCCCTAGGAGATGCGTTTTAAAACCGTGAGACTAAACTAATGGCATACGTAACGGGCAAAAGCGGACAATATCTGCTAGTGGTGGGCTTGGGTTGTTACCAACTTGAGCTTCTTGGCAATCGATTGATCAAATCGAGCACCTTAAATTTCGTGACCATCTTGTGATTAACTCTTCATTTTAAATTCTTCTTGACAACCTTGAATACTAGGAACTTGCCATAGAACCACAGCCATACTCTTAAATTTCTGGACCGTACTGTTATATCTTGCTTTTGACACCCTTGCCTACATTTGCATTTGCAGAGTAGAAGGACCTCAGAAACGAGGGCAAATAGGGGGAAGCATGATCATCAAGAAATGATTAAACCAGAGAGTTCAGATGATGTAAAACCTTCTGAAGGACCACTTGCCAATGTAATTCCAAATTCACTATGAGCCACATGTTGGTTTTTATCATCTAAACTGAGATTATTGACTGATGAAAATTGTTCAAAGAGTTAAATCTTACATGTTTTAACCTTTTATTTTAAAATTAAAGGTGACTAATTATTGATGTTCTATGCTCCAAAATTCTCTTGTTTAGGCCTTCAAGATTGCAGTAATGATTGGGTTTGGAACTCTTGTTCTCCTTACCAGACAAAGGAAAAAGAAGGTATGAGATAACTTCTGTAAATCTGTTTTTTTTTTTTTTTGCTCTGTCCTATGAACATTTGTTCAAGGATGGAGTTATGCTTACATAGAGCCTTCCTTCTGTTAACCAAGTCTGATACACATGGCTTTATTCATGGGCGTGCAGAGATAAGCAGTTGGGTTATGGATCCGCACCAATTGTTTTCAAGGGATGTAAGCTTTTACTTCCATAAACAGCAACCCAGTTTTTCTTCCCCCATTCTTTTTTTATCTTCACCACATGCATATTAACTAATTTTAGTGTTCCGTACAGAATGTGTCGTGAATGTACTTGTAATTTCTGTCTCCATCCCATTGTATAAATTTTGTTCTGATCCGAAATCAACCTTATATTCTGATGTTATTTAGCTTCATTGAGGTATCAAGACAATGTCTCTGCCCCCTTATGTCAAGACGTTTATCGTAATATAAACCTCTGTGGTTCGATGTCGTAGGTTTCAGGTGTCACATGTTCCTAATAATTCAATGTTAATGTTTAAGGCATGTTATAGTTTAATTCATTTAATGCATATTATTAGAGTGCAATAACGAGGACTTTTTCAAAACATAAGGAATAAAAATAGATGACGCTTTAATTCCTAAAATTCACAAGTATTTCAAAGGCTATCTTGAATGTAATAAATCTTTAAACCACTAATGAACAAATTTAACCTTCGACTAAGCTTCTTAATTCTGCTCTGCACACCATTTTTGTCGTACAAGATGGTGTAGTTTTGATTCAAGTCTATCGTTTAAATATGTTCAAAGTCAAATAAGTGTTTAAGCAGAAGAGATCCAGAGAAATGAAACACTTCAAAGCTGCCACTATAAAATAGACTAATGACTACAAAACAACCTTGTTAAGTTATTGGTTCATGAACCGACTGGTTTTCCATTTAGTCGAGGAAAAGGATCTTGTTTGCTTACCACTGCAACTTTACTCTTGTGGGCGAAGTACCCCTTCACAAGACCCTTATTTATGAGTATGGCCATGATGCACTCTACCTGCAAGTTTAAGGCATGTATGAGACAACACGGGTCGGTTTTCGACTATTACAACATTGAGCGACGGATAAACAAATACCTCATCAACGTCCATGTCTACTTCCAACCATTGTAAAGCTTTTACAATTACTTCTAATTTGATCTGGTGAGCTTTGTTTGGATCCTTTTGCCTTTGTATAAAGTAGCTGGAGAAAGTGTAGTGAATCAGAAATAATGAACAAATAGTGAGGAGGAGCCTCTTTAAGTCCGTAGATTCGTTTGAGCTATCCATCAACTAGAAGGACACAAAATACAAGAACGGTGAGCTTACATTTTCTTCACCAATCTTTGGTAAACTTGAAGTTCCAACTTCTCTAAGACGAGATACACCCCTGATCTTAAGAACCTGATAAAACAAAGGAAACAACTTTGAGTATACATCCTCGGTCAAAATATTCTCACAGACAAAAAATTGAAAAAACAGGTTTACCGATCTTCGTGCTCTTGAAGAGCTTGTCGAAGAAGCCTCGGATCACCTCTTGTAAGAGATTGCACAACATTTCCATACTGCGAGAAGAACATTATTAGTAAGCTTTATGATGCATAAAAATCATTATGTTCTAGAAAGCTTCACAAGTAGCTTAAATAAGTTAGGCTGAGAACATTTGTAAAAATTTGCCATACCTCAAAAAGGTTATACTTCTCGAGAAGCACCCTTGTAGGCAAGATGCCCATCGAAAGCTTCACAGGTATGAGATATTTTAATATCATTCTGTTCCAAAATTATTGCGACTTAGCATGGGTTAGACTCCCTTCAATTTCACAATCTACAGAGAACTACTCATGAAGTAACTAGATAATTGATAACCAAATGAATCAAAACAACTATATAATGATAGATAATAAAGCCAAAGAATATTTTAACGGGCACAAACAATTAGTCTAGGATATGAAGTTATAATAACTATTACCATGAAAAACGAATGAGAAGACGAAGAAGAGAGAGCAAAGCCAAGTCACAAGCCAAGCAGATTACAAAGGTTCATCCAATAGTATAATAGTTGGAAGGAAAAACAGGCTTTCGCCAAGCTCTAGAACCGTGGGGCCGAAGTATCTTCCTTCTCTATCACAGTAATGAATGTATTTTTGTCTTTGACCAAGCTCCAGAAATTTTCAGCAAATTAATAGTTGATGAAGATGTGCCTTTATGATTCCATTCTTCTTTGAATGACAGATACCATCCATGGATCAGAGCCATAGAGGGATGTTTAAGCTTAAATGACAGAGTTCCCAAGGGAAAAAAAAAAAAAAACTTGAATTTCTATGGGTTGAAGTAGCAAGGCGTTATCATGGGAAGCGGTAGTGATGACATCATTAGAAAGAGGTCGAACTGAGAAGGAACCAGAAACGCCGAAGGAAGAAAACAAGTGGGAGACTGAAGCACACCCCCATATCTCAATATACTGAAAAAATCTTACAAAGTCCAAGTCCCAACACCCCCAAGAATCATTTACAGATAGAAAGATCCAAGCCCTAGGCAGGTAGTTCCATGTTTTGCTGCAATGTTCTTCCTGCAAGCTTACACCTGATACTAGAGGTTAAGAGCTCCCTATACAATGCTTCACAGTTGAGGCCTGAATCTAAGGTGTGCAGCAATTTTATGTCCAGGATGGATGCTTTCTCAAGGGCATTCATAATGTTGAAAAGATTAATAATCATGTTAATTCCTAAGAAAAGATGATGACCGGACAGGAGGGCCTCTCCCAAATTAAAACCACTCATTAAATTCTATGACAAACCATAGGAGTGTAGGTCATCTTGTCATGAGCCCCTCCAGACTTTCCTCTTATATTGTGAGATCCCACATCGGTTTGGGGAGGAGAACGAAACATTCTTTATAAGGGTGTGGAAACCCCTCCTTAGCAGACGCGTTTTAAAAATCTTGAGGGGAAGTCCAGAAGAGAAATCCCAAAGAGGACAATATCTACTAGCGGTGGGCTTGAGCAACATATATTCTTACAAGAAGATGCACGAGCTGTTAATTTTCGAAAATATTAAATGTACCCTCTCATCAGCATATAGTTGTAAGATTTATCTATTTGAAGCATTCAGCCATAAATACAAAAGTATACTAAATAAATCACTCAATAATCTATTCATAATTGTCTAAGCAAAAGCAAATTATATGCAGCAAGCACACCTGAGTCAAACCTTATATTAGCTTCTCTTTGAGGGTTGCAATGCATCAAGGCGTATGATAACTTCTGGTCAGCCTGACATATCACAGAAGTGATTCAGTAAAAAAGTGGTTGAGAAGAAAGGGAAAAAAGGCTTCACGTATTATTTATTCACAACATGGTAAGAAAAAATGATAAAACCATAGAACTACTAGCATTAATTGATCAATTTAGATTCCAAATCCGTAAATGATAAAGCCATAGAATTACTCACAGCAGGGAAATTCTCGTTGAAAACTTCCAGACGTCCTGTATAATACATGTAGGTCACCTAAATAACACATTTACTTTGGTCAGAACTTTTCAATATAAACCAAGATGGCCGAACCATCCTGATGAAAGTACAGGATGATGACGATCCGGGGGGGGGGGGGGGGGGGGGGGGGGGG